GTGCCTTGAGAGCAAACAGCAGGGGGATCTGACCTAGTCAGGGAGGCCAGAGAAAGCTTCCCTGAGGAAGCAACAACTGGGCTGAGATCTGAAGGGTGTGTAGGAGTTAGCAAGGCAGAGGTGGGTGGGAAAAGCTTTCCAGATGGGAGGGAAATAGGCCCCGTGATGGGAGGGACTGTGGGACTGCAAAAGACCAGCCTGGCTGGAGCATAGGAAGCAAGGGGGGAGCATGTTGTGAGAGGATTTTGGAAGCCCAGGAAGGGCCAGAGCCTGCAGGCCTTGTTGGATGGGTTAAGGCATTTTATTCTAAGAACATCAATAAGCCAGTGAAGAGTTTTAAGCGGAGAAGTGACATGATCAGATTTGTGTTTCCAAATGACCATTTGGAGGGGAACTGGGTAAGAATGGAGGCAGGGAGACCATTTAGGAGGCTTATGCAGACATCCAGGCAGGAGATGATGTTCTGAGGTAGTTGGATTAGTTAGCAGCGCTTTCTGCTGCAAATACAGAAAATCTGGCCAACAGTGGTTTAAATAAAAAGGACTTGATTCCTTCCTGCATTTAAGCCTGGAGGAAGGCAACTGCTTCTGTTGGTTCCCTGGCTCGATGACTCCAGGGCTGGCATTTCTGTGATTCTCTATGCCTTGCTCTCATGGTGGCAAGACAGCTGCCCTGGCTCCAGGCATTGTGATTGTATTCAAGCTGAAAAGAAAAGGAGGCTGGTACTGGCAAGTCCTGCCCCTTTTATTATAAAGGCAAGATCTTTCCCAGAGACTCTCATCAGATTTTTTTATGTATATGTTATTATCTAAATGTGAATCATGTGACTTCTAGGTACAAGAGAGTCTGGGAAAGGGCAAAGAAGGTTGAGAATGAGTTTTGGCTAATCAGCTGACAGTGATTTGGTAGATTCGGAAATAAGTGGGCAGATCTATTTTTAAGAAACAAAATCCATAGGACATGGTGATGGATTGAATTATTAGTCCCCTCCTCACTTGTTTTTCCTTCCTATTGATTATGTTTAGTAATGGGGAGGAATGTGATTATAATCGTGAGATATAGGATGAAGTTTATATAATTAAATCTGTATCAATTAAATCTTCTCTTTAAGAAATCCAGAAATCGGATAGCTTCCTTTTCTCCCAGTAATTTGAATTTGATTGTATTGTGTAGTATTTGGACATTGGGAATTTTGGAAATCCAGAATGAGGGCTTCACATGGGGGACTATATTGTGTAATCTTTTAGAGTTTATAGCGTGGTTTCATGTACGTTGTATCACTTGATACTAAAATCCTTGGAGATAGGTGAGCAGGTATCATTAGGCTTCGAGAGGGTGAGTCACCAGGTCTCAGGGTGGTCTGAGGGTTTGTGGTGTCAGGGTTTGTGCTTTTTTCTACTAGCAAGTACTACGCTGTAGGACATGGGAAAGGGAGTTGGGAGTGCTTTGTCTGGAGAGGAATAAATACAGGGGCCTATCTCCTCTGAGACTAGAGCTGGGAGAACATGGTGCATGCATGTGTACTAAGTCGCTTCAGTTGTGTCTGACTCTTTGCAACCCTGTGGACTAGAGCCTGCCAGGCTGCTCTGTCCATGGGATCCTCAAGGCAAAAATACCGGAGTGGGTTGCCATGCCCTCCTCTGGGTGTGGGGGAGAACATGGATCGATGCTAAAGAGACTGAGTTTGATAAGATCTTGATGAAGGCTCAGTGGCTGGCAGCAGCACCTGTGTAGTGGTGGGGGACGTGGGAAAGCCTGGGAGTGTCCAAACCATTGGTGCGGACATTCCCAGGCTTGCTGTGGCCACAGACAAAGCAAATGGGTGGTCTGGATTTCTGCCAAATTGGCCTTTTGTGCTGTGAGTCTCAGACATGGGTCCTGCTTGGGGTAGGAAGAGGAGGACTGTGCCATGGATAAAAGACCAAGCTATCAAACTTCTTTCCAAGGTGGAGAGATGCTTCTAGGTGCTTTTCCAATAACTATTTGAGAGGCCATTTTGGTCTGAAGTCCCCTCTGCTTCTCCAGAGAGAGGTAAAGGTGGAAAAGAATTGTCATCTGGAGATAGGCAGTTGATATCTGTAAGGCCACCCCAGTTCCCCTCCAGGCAGGATAACCAACCGCCTCTCCAGCTCAGGCCATAGGGTGGACCAGAGGCTGGACAGCTCCTACCCTCCCCTCTATGGAAGATTCCCAGGAGACTTCACAATCTTCCTCATTGTCTCACAACCCTCAGGGTCAGGAAGTTCTTCTTGTTGTCTGACTGTGTCTCTTCCACTACTATTAATCATGCCCGCAAAGCTAGCTCTTCTTCCTGACATCCCTGTGTCTAATAATGGCATCATTAGTCTTCCAGTCACGGCTGCTGCAAACTTCAGAGTCGTCTTCCTTTCTGACTCTCTCTCTCTCCCATGTCTTCCCAGTGTTTTCCAAACCCCCAATGTCTGCTGGAACTCTCTCATCCCACCCCTTAAAATTCCTTATTTGCCCACCTCTTCTGCCTTTGTGCATGCTCTTGCCTTCACTGGGAATTCTGTCTCCCTTACACACAGCCATCTTGTTCTCCATCTCAGACACACTCTTCTCTGGGAAGTCTTCCTCAGTTTCCCTCTATTGGATCTCTTCTTGCTCTCATCTTAACTGGCCTAACATTTTGGAACCTCTTTACAGCACAGTCATTTATTCATCTATTTAGTGAACATTTGTTAAGTACCATCTCTGGGCAAAGGCCCGAACTGAGTGCTGGAGATCCAGTGATAAATAGAATTTGGTTCCTATTCTGCAGAAGACCAGATTCTCCTTGGGGAGACAAAATCTGAAACAGACAATTTCAGTGCAATGTGATAGTTGCTTTCATGGGGGAACCCAGGGTATTCTAAAAATGCAATAGAGAGGCATAACCCAGAAAAGTCTTCAAGGGAAGGTGGAGCTTAATCTGAATAAGTGTTAGCCAGGGGAATGTGTTGGGGGGGGGTGGTGGATGAAAGTAGATTCTAGGAGGAGGGAGCAGCTTATGCAAAAATACAGGGACCTAAAATAACCCTCTCATGTGAAAGGTTGGTCCCCCTGTTAGACTATAAGCCTCTTAATGACAGGGACCACACTTAAATCACCTCTGTTCATGTCTCACTCTGAGTCTTGGTATGGTAGCTGCTCAACAAATATTTGTGGAATGGAATAATATTTGAGGGCAATGAAAATGCAGTGGCTCAGCACCACGGACAGATCACACAGACACCTGCGGTTGGAGGTAGTCCAACCTGTAAGCTTATTTGCATGCATTTGCATAATGAAGCCAACTTCATTTCCCTGGGGGTCCAGAGGCTCTGCATCATGGGGGATCCAATCAGTCCTGGCCTGGGGGGTTGGGCAGGGAAACTGTCAAGGCCAGCGACCGGTCCTCTAAGGACTCTGGGAGAATCTCTTTTCCACTTCGCTTACCACCCTTTTCTTTCCGGTTAGGAGCCAGTGGTCCTGCGCCTTCTGAAGTTAGGATTCTGCCTGGCGGTGGAGATCCTGACACCAAGGATGGGACACCCCAGATGGTGAGTGGTAGGAGAGTCTGGGGGATAGGGTTCTCAAATCAAAATAAGCTGGGTTTGAATCTTGATGCAAAGTGAGTCAACCACTTTCCGGCTTTGTGACCTTCCCATTTGGGGCTGTTTTCTCGTGAGTAGATGTGGATAACATCTGCGCACAGGATTTCAGGGGGATTAGAGAATCCTGGGTGTGCACAGTAGCCGGTACACGGCACGTGCTCAGAGATGAACCGTGAGCGGGGTCTGGAAGAAGCTTGAACCGTGGTGGGCATGGGGAGGCCGTGGGGAGGAGGAAGGGAGGGAAAACCTTGGAGGTGCTGCTGTCTGGAGTCTTTGAGGCTGTCATCTCCTCACAGTCAGCAGATGGCCCAGGAGCCTGGTCTGGGATGAGGGAGGGCGCCGTCTGCCAGCTCCTTGGTCCCTGTCCCTCCTGCTGGCACTCCCTCCTGCTGTAGCTCCTGTCCTGGCAGCTCTGGAGCCCTGATTGGAGGCAGTTCTTGCTGAGAGCTGACCTCTCTGTCCTGCAGCCTTGGTCAGCCTGGGGTGGGGCCAGGGGCACTGGTTCCAACGCTTTCCCTCCATCACCTCCCTGCCCTGCCAGCCCACTGTTCCTGGGAGGAGGAACTCCTGGGTTCTAACCCCAGTTTAGGATTCAGATGCTGCTTGAATATCCAGCGTGCCTCTTTTATGTTTCTCCCCACTTCATGACCTCTCCTCCCCTGGAATGGGGGTGGCGGTAAAAGGCACAGGGAGAAATTTCATCAGGGAATATTCGGAACCCAGAAGAGGAGGGAGGAGTCATCTCAGGTTATCCCTTCCAGTCTCAGCCCTGGAGGGGAGGGAGAATGAGCCTCCAGCCAGATGGAAGGAACTGGGTGTGGAAGGAAGGGGAGGGGTTATCCTACAGTCTCGTGATGGATGTGTAGATTTGGGTCCAACGTTCTCTTTGGTTATTGCTTCTGGGAGCTGTGACCCAGAGCCCTGGCTTTTCATAGCAGGGGAATTGGGTAGGGATGGGACATAGGTGTGGCTCTGGCTCAATTTGCCTCACACCAGCTTGTTAGAAGCTAGTTCACATAATGGCTCGTATGTTTGACTACTGTGTTTATGTCTGTATTGGTATCTTTTTACTCTTGATTACCTAAGATTCTTTAAAAAACCCGTCTGGTTGAGGACATTTCCTCTTGTGAATAAGTATTTATCATCTTTGCAGCATCTGATGAATGGTGATATTATTTTGTGCCCTTGTGAGTGTCTTTGTCTAGTATGACTTTTAAGCCCGTTTGTGGACAGTGCAGTTAACCACAACAGACTGATATGCATTACCTAAGCAGTGCTAAGAATACCTGATAAAAGTCTCAGGTCAAGTGGCCAGTTGTTCGATCCTAATCCCATTGCTCCCTATTTTCCCAGGAGGTTCCTGGGGCCTGGCCCCCAGCGCTATGAAGAGCCCTTGCTGAGGCCATGAGGGGTTACCATGGCGACCGAGGCAGCCACCCCCGCCCAGCCCGCTTTGCCGACCAGCAGCACATGGACGTGGGCCCTGCTGCCAGGGCCCCGTACCTGGTGGGCTCCGGGGAGGCCTTCTCCACCGAGCCCCGCTTCTGTGCCCCAAGAGCTGGCCTGGGACACCTTTCTCCTGAAGGGCCCCTGAGCCTGAGCGAGGGGCCATCCGCAGGCCCCGAGGGAGGGCCAGGAGGGGCCGGGGCTGGGGGGGGCAGCAGCACCTTCCCCAGGATGTACCCCGGCCAGGGCCCCTTCGACACCTGTGAAGACTGTGTGGGCCACCCGCAGGGCAAGGGTGCCCCCCGCCTGCCTCCCACACTGCTGGACCAGTTTGAAAAGCAGTTGCCAGTTCAACAGGATGGCTTCCACACGCTGCCATACCAGCGGGGTCCGGCGGGGGCCGGGCCCGGGCCGGGGCCGGGGCCTGGCGCCGCCCCGGAGGCCCGCAGCGAGAGCCCCAGCCGCATCCGGCATCTGGTTCACTCTGTGCAGAAGCTGTTTGCCAAGTCCCACTCTCTGGAGGCCCCCGGGAAGCGGGACTACAATGGGCCCAAGGCCGAGGGAAGGGGAGGCCCCGGGGGAGACAGCTTCCCAGGCCCGAGCTCCGGCGGCCCGCACGCCGCCCCCCACCCCCACCACCACCACCACCACCACCAGGCCCGGCACGGCAAGAGGAGCAAGAGTAAGGACCGCAGGGGGGACGGCCGGCACCAGGCCAAGGCCGCGGGCTGGTGGAGCTCCGACGACAACTTGGACAGCGACAGCGGCTTCCTGGCCGGCGGGCGGCCCGCCGCGGAGCCCGGCGGCCCCTTCTGCCTGGAGGCTCCGGACGGCTCCTACCGGGACTTGAGCTTCAAGGGGCGCTCGGGGGGGTCGGAAGGCCGCTGCCTTGCCTGCACTGGCATGTCCATGTCACTGGATGGGCAGTCGGTCAAGCGAAGTGCCTGGCATACCATGATGGTCAGCCAGGGCCGGGATGGATACCCGGGGGCCGGGCCCAGCAAGGGGCTCCTGGGGCCGGAGGCTAAGGCCAAAGCCAGGACTTATCACTATCTGCAGGTGAGGCTTTGGTGGGGTGGGGAACAGGCTCCTCAGCCCTCACCAGTGTTGTCACCCTGGGGGCTGTGGAAAGGGTTGGATGGGAGCCAGCTCTTCCCATGATGACGGGTCTGGAGGCAGCCGGTTCTTCCCCGCCTCACTGTACTATAACACCTTGAGCTCCTTTGGGGACCTCAGTTTCCCCATTTGTGCAACGAAGGGGCCCTTCTATTTTGATGTCGTATGTCAGTGCCAGGAAGACTTTTCTTTTACCTGCAGTTTAGGATAAGCTGTGCTGGCCTCTGTCTTGTGAGGCTGGAGGCAGAATGAGGTTGAGGGTGAGCAGTGAACAGGGCAGAGTGCTGCTGCCTGCCTGTGCCTCCCCGAGATTGGAGGTCAGCAGTTGGAAAGCAGTTGTCTTGCCCCCGGGCCTTCTCCAGACCTCTTTTCTGCCCAGATCTGGGTGGTCCAGATAGTGTTCGGATATGAAGGTCAGTTATTTCCAGAATGTGCCTCTGCTGGTGTTGTCATTCTGGGGAACCTGCAGGTGGGACACCCACGAGGCTGTGGAAAGCCAGGGAATCTGTCCTGTGGGGGTTTTCTTGGGCTGGGGTGCACGCTGAAGTCTGAGCTCCAGACCCCGCGGTGGGCTCGGGCTTCCTGGGAGTGGATGGTGCAGGTGATAACTGGCGCACTGTCCCTGTCCTCTTTTACCACCTCTGTGGTGTCTGCAGGTGAGGTTAGGAGCTCTGACCCCTTCTTCTTATGGAGCCTTGGTCCATCCCTCACTGTCCCCTCTCCGTCATCCTACAGAGATGGGGTTAGGGGCTCTTCCTGCCATCCACCTTCCTCTTCTCTGTCTCACGCTCCTCTCCCACATCTCCTAATGTGTCTTCTTGAGCCCTCCTATAGTTGGAGGAGAGAGTCTAGACAAGTTCTAGAAGTCCAGTAGACTTAGGGTTATCCCCCAAACTCACATTTCACGTAGTTAATCCACATCCATTCATTCAGTGAGTGTTCCCTGAGTGCTGTGAATGCAAAGAGGCAGACACAGATGCTGCCTGGAGGAGCTCACAGTTTAACAGTGGATTAGATAAGACAGTTTCTCTGGTGGCTCAGATGGTAAAGAATCTTCCTGCAATGCAGGAGACCTGGGTTCAATCCCTGGGTCAGGAAGATCCCTTGGAGGAGGGCATGGCAACCCACTCTAGTATTCTTGCCTGGAGAATCCCATGGACAGAGGAGCCTAGCAGGCTACATACAGTCCATGTTGGTGCCAAAGAGTTGGGCACGACTGAACGACTAAGCGCACAGCACACACAGAATAGAGTGCAGTGAGGCAGCGAGAGGAGAGAGCCTTGGGAACCTCGGGAGCCCAGAGGAGACACCTCACCCACTTGGGTGGTGGTGGCCAGGGGCTGCTCAGGGCAGCTTCTGGGAAGAATGTCCCGAACAGAGTCGCAGTGGACAAGTGGAGTTAGTCGCGTGCAGTGTTTCCAGGCCTGAGTGTTCCAGGAAGAGGCTGCAGCATATTCAGAGGCATGGAGAATTGAGCTTGCACATGTCCTTTGAGTATCACTGGCCTTTTTGGTAAGTTGTTCACGTTAGGGCTCTTCTGGGTGGGGAAGTCACAACAGCTCAAGGGCCATAGTGGAAGCAGAAAGGGGCGAGACACAGAAGGGGAGGTTGGAGACTTGTAAGATTCAGGGTTGGTCTTGCACTGCCCTCTCCCTGGGTAGGAAGGTTCTCTAAATTGGGAACTGAAGGGTCCAGAAGAAAGGGCTCAGGAGAGAACACCAGCCCTTCCTCTCCCATCCTTGGAGCCTTGCCTCCACCCGGCTGCTCCCTACTGCTTCTCCAGGGCTGCCCTGACCTCCCTGGGGGCCCCCTTTTTAACATGCGCCTCACAGTGTCCTGCGGAGGAGCCGGCAGCCCTGCAGTGGCTATGGAGTGGGAACCCTGCAGTGTGGCAGAGCGTGCCCTGGCTGGCCTGTCACCTCCCTCTGCCTGCCTGTGGCTCCTCTCTGTAGAGTATGGAGAAGGGGAGGCTCTTTCAGGGGCTGGGGTTCCAGGGCATCTGAGGACTGCGAAGTCTGAGCCTGTTTGGCAGAGAACAAAGGGCTATAGAAACTCTCCAGACAACCTGTACTCCCCTGGTACAAAAGCAGGGCAAGCTGGCTGCATCAGCCCAGGTGTCTTGGTTGGATCCCCAGCCCTTTTGTTGAGACTCTACTCTCCCACTGGATTCAGGTCTCCCACAGCCTTCTTCCAGAACCCCCCTTCTTACTCAGAGCCCTTGTTCCTTTATGGAGCCTTGTCTCCTCCCTGTGTTCCCATTTGATTGAGCCCAGCCCCCCACTCAGCCCTGTCCTCCCACCAAGGGCTCCTTCATGGGCCCTCACCCATCCCTGAGTCCCTGTTCTCACACTGATCTCTGGCCTTTCATCTAGCCTCACCCTAGAGTCTGTTCTTCTCCTGAGCCCTATGCTCTCCCCAAACCCTGACCCTGACCCTCATTTAGCCTGTTCTTTTCAACAGGCATAGGCCAACCATTATGGACTCCCTCACCCACCTGCAGACTCATCAAGATCCCCAGCCCTCATCATCCCCTTCCTTCTTGGCTCAGAGATGAAGCCAGGACCCTGCATCCCAGGGTGACCCTTCCACAGGGTTTGCGCCCATCTCCCTGGGATCCCTTTCATCCATGAACTATCCCCGCTTCCTCCCCACATTTAAAGACTGTCTTTCTCTTTACTGACTCTTTCCCACATCCTGCAAACATGCCCAGATGGCTCTCGTCCTAAAAAAAAAAAGAAAACTTTCCTTAACCCCATACCCCCTTCTGTCTCCTTCCTGTCTCCCCTTCACTTCCAAGTTCTTAGAGCATAGACTCCATCGTTTCCTTTCATTCTCCGCTTTACTAGAGTCTGACTTCCACACTCCTGGCCTCTAAAATGTCCTGGCAGTGGTCACCAATGGTCTCTTGAGAGCCCTCCTTGAAAAGTATCTTTCAATGCTTACCGTTATGATGGTTAACATTGAACACTTACTCCCTGTTGGTACATTTACTGTTTCTGCCAGTGCTGTGATGCAGGCGTAATTAGCATTACCAGTTCACAGATGAGGAAACTGTGGCAGAGTTTAACACAACTTTGCTCACATTTACACAGCTAGCAAGTGATGGGACCAGAATTTGAACATGGTTCTAACTCCCCAGCCCAAACCGCTAACCTTAGCATGCACTGTGGCATTTGACATTATCAACTCCTTCTATTCTGGAAATGTCTCCTGTTTCCGTGACAGGGCGTTCTCCTGACTTCCCTCCCACCCATCTGCCCACTCCTTCACAGGTGACTTCATAGGCTCCTCTCCCTTTCTTCGCAGTCCCCCTTTTAAATGTCAGTGCATCCCTGCCCACCTCTCTTTCTTCTCTCCTCTGGGCTGTTTCATTCACTCCTATGGATTCAGCTGCCATCCAAGATTCCCCCAGGAGTCTGCCTCCAGCTCAGATCTCTCCACTGAACTCCAGAACCACACTCAACCACCTGCTCCACAGTTCTTTGCCAGCTCAAGATGCTCAACCCTGAACCTATCACCTTTCCCCCACATCTGTTTCTCTGGGATTCTGTGGCTCAGTGAGCAACACCAGCATCCCCCAGGTCCGCAGCCGGCAGCCTCCCGGTCCTCCATGACTCCTCCCTGCCCCCTCACCCCCCACATCTAATCAGGCTCACTGATGCTCCTAAACACCTCTCATTTCATCTTCTCTTCCCCCTCATTGTCATTGTCTTAATTTAGGCCTCATCATCTCTTGCCTGGATAACAGCATCAGCCTCTTAATTGGTCTTCCTCTCACCACTTGAGCCCCTGCCCTGCTCTGTTTGGACTGCTGAAGTGCTCTTTCTGAAACACACACTGATGCCACTCCTTCTGTGGCTCTTCACAGAAGGGAGGGGGACGTCAGAGGATTTGGGATGTAAGCACATTAAGAGGATGAAGGAGAGGAGGGGTGAAAGGTGACTGAAGTCAGGGATGCCTTACTGCTAGGGGTGAGATTGACATAGGTCACTTTGGCCTCTGAGCTTCAACCTCTTGCACCTATCATGGGAGCCCCTAGACTCTTTAGATGGCCCTCAGTTAAGTAGCAGAAGGCCCATGGAGGATGAAGAGGCATGTCCTGATCTGCCTCAACATACTCCTGAGCGTGGTTTGCTTGAGCCAGGTCTGTGCATCTCCCACTGGCAGTGGAGAAAGAGGGTCCTGGCTTCCAGATTTAGTAGGTACTTGAGGCCCCTTGTCCCTGCAGGTGCCGCAAGATGACTGGGGGGGTTACCCCACCGGGGGCAAGGACGGGGAGATCCCCTGCCGCAGGATGCGGAGCGGCAGCTACATCAAAGCCATGGGGGATGAGGAGAGCGGAGACTCAGATGGCAGCCCCAAGACATCTCCCAAAGCGGTCGCCCGGCGCTTCACCACTCGCCGCTCCTCCAGTGTAGACCAGGCCCGGATCAAGTAAGGACAGGGGAGAGCTGGGGGATGGGGAGGGGGCAGGAAGCTGATCCTGGGTGCCTGCAGGAGATGTGCGTCGCGTGGGTGCTGGTCAGGTTCCCGCCTTAGGGTTCAACTGGGCAGTCTTGCTCTGCCCCATATAAAGAGGGGATGTCTGTGAAAGCCTCTATCTGAATCCCTCTTTAGCGCAGTCCTTTTACTCAGGAGTCTCCTCCTGGAGATTCTGGGGGGTTTCAGGAATAGAACCCACTCAGGGACCCCAGTGCTCTCATTCCCCTCCCCTACCTCCTAGCAGACCCCCATTCTGAATCTGGAATTTTGACCTTTCCCAGCTGCTGTGTCCCACCCCGGATCCACCCGCGGAGCTCCATTCCTGGCTACAGCCGTTCCCTCACCACCGGACAGGTAGGAAGCAGCCCAGCATGCCAGAGGGAAGGGGTGGGGAGGAGGATTCACTCCCATGCTCAGCCTAGGCCTTAAAAATCAGGAATCTGCCGCTGAAGAGAGCACAGGTCTAATTCTGGGGAGCTGGGAAGCCTGCCTCGGGATTCTCCGAGCTGAATCAGACTGAGGATCTCAGAGAGTCACATCCTTAAAAACCAAGCGTCCTCCAAGTGATGAACTTGGAAGGGCAGTGTCAATTCTCTGAGCTTCCCTAGCCCTGTCCTGGTCCCTCCCCACTGCCCCCTCCCCCCACCCCGTGTAAAAGGCAGGACTGACTTCACAGACTGGAGAGGGGCCAGAGCTTCAGTCTCAGAGATGATCAGGGCTTGAGCTCTCTCCCCTCCACTCCACCCTGGGACCACTGGCAAGATAATTTCCTCTCAGTGCCTCTGTTTTCTCATTGTTGAGATGACAATTGTAGTGATGCTTGTCTCAGAGGGGGTTGGGGAATTCAGTGACAAATACATGCAAACACAAGGAAGCTGGCCCCAAACTGGTATTTTATAAGTGTGAGTTCTATACCTAAGTATAGACTTTCCCCTTAACTAAAGAAGGCAGTGCAGTTTAGTAATTAAATACTTTAGGTGGGTTTGAATTCCAGCTCCACTCCTTACCAGCTGAGTGACCTGGGGCAAGTTACTTGACTTTTTTGAGCCCCACTCTCCCTATTTAAAAATAGGCATCATAATAGTGTTCTTGGCACAGAGCCAGCACTCGATAAAGGTTAGCTATTTTTACTGTTTGCTGGGGAAAAAAAAGCAATGCAAAAAGCAATGCAAAAGTCTATCCTCCTTGGCTCTCATTGTTTGTTGCTGCTGCTGTCTCTCAGCGTTTCTTTGTTACATTTCCTGAATCAGGGAATCTTGACTGGCACAGTCATCTTTTCACATAAGACCAGCCTATGTTGCTAAACTTACTGGTTAATGTTCTGTATTTGTTTCACTTGAGCCATCAGCAACGTCTAACACAGCTGATGATTCTCTCCTTCCTGAAACACGTTTCTCAGTTGGCCTTGAGGATGCCACATCTTTTAGATTCTTCTAGATTCTCTCTCTGGCTGCCTGTTCTCAGTCCGTGTCACTGGGGCCCATGAACTCGTCCAGGATCTAAACACTGGAGCTTTCCAGGGCCTAGTTCCTGGACTTCTTCTTCAGTTCAGTTCAGTTCAGTTCAGTTGCTCAGTCGTGTCCGACTCTTTGTAACCCCATGAATCGCAGCACGCCAGGCCTCCCTGTCCACCACCAACTCCCGGAGTTTACTCAAACTCATGCCCATTGAGTCGGTGATGCCATCCAGCCATCTCATCCTCTGTCGTCCCCTTCTCCTCCTGCCCCCAATCCCTCCCAGCACCAGGGTCTTTTCACATGAGTCAACTCTTTGCATGAGGTGGCCAAAGTATTGGAGTTTCAGCTTCAGCATCAGTCCTTCCAATGAACACCCAGGACTGATCTCCTTTAGGATGGACTGGTTGGATCTGCTTGCAGTCCAAGGGACTCTCAAGAGTCTTCTCCAACACCACAGTTCAAAAGCGTCAATTCTTCAACACTCAGCTTTCTTCACAGTCCAACTCTCACATCCATACATCACCACTGGCAAAACCATAGCCTTGACTAGAGAGACCTTTGTTGGTAAAGTAATGTCTCTGCTTTTTAATATGCTATTTAGGTTGATCATAACTTTCGTTCCAAGGAGTAAGCGTCTTTTAATTTTCTAGCTGCAATTACCATCTGCAGTGATTTTTGGAGCCCCCCAAAATAAAGTCTGACACTGCTTCCACTGTTTCCCCATCTATTTCCCATGAAGTGATGGGACCAGATGCCATGATCTTAGTTTTCTGAATGTTGAGCTTTAAGCCAACTTTTTCACTCTCCTCTTTCACTTTCATCAAGAGGCTTTTTAGTTCCTCTTCACTTTCTGCCATAAGGGTGGTGTCATCTGCATATCTGAGGTTATTGATATTTCTCCTGCCAATCTTGATTCCAGCTTGTGCTTCCTCCAGCCCAGCATTTCTCATGATGCACTCTGCATATAAGTTAAATAAGCAGGGTGGCAATATACAACCTTGACGTACTCCTTTTCCTATTTGGAACCAGTCTATTGTTCCATGTCCAGTTCTAACTGTTGCTTCCTGACCTGCATACAGGTTTCTCAAGAGGCAGCTCAGGTAGTCTGGTATTCCCATCTCCTTCAGAATTTTCCACAGTTTATTGTGATCCACACAGTCAAAGGCTTTGGCATAGTCAATAAAGCAGAAATAGATGTTTTTCTGGAAATCTCTTGCTTTTTCGATGATCCAGCGGATATTGGCAATTTGATCTCTGGTTCCTCTGCTTTTCTAAAACCAGCTTGAACATCTGGAAGTTCACGGACTTCTTATTACACTCACTCATTGGGCGAGCTCATCTAGGCTCGTGGCTTTGAATCTTATTGAGAGCCTGATGACTTCCAAATGTTTATCATCAGCCCACATTCTCCCATAAACACCGGGCATGAATATCTAACTGTGTATTGAAATCTTGCTTGGATACTGAGTAGACATCTCAAAGTTAAAATGTCCAAAACCAAACTGCTGGTACCCTTTTTCTTTCTCTCCAAGTTACCTGCTCCATCCACTGTCTTCTCCATTTACTTTTGATCACCTCTACCTTTCTCACATGTACTTGTTGGAGTATTTTAGTTTGTACTTTAGTACTTTAGCATGTACAGTATTTTAGTTCCCTCTCACTATACCTTCTTACATTTCATCCCTTCCTTTTATTTTGTTTTTGTCTGTGCCATGTGGCTTGTGGGATCTTAGTTCCCTGATCAGGGGTTGAACCTGGGCTCCAGGCAGTGAGAGTACCACATCCTAACCACTGGACCATCAGGGAATTCCCTCACTCCTTCCTTTTAAAATAAATTCTTTGCTAATTTTTTTCAGTGCATGTCAGTGGCAAATTCTGCCTTTAACCAAAAATATAGTTTACCGTCACTGTTGAACATAATTTAGCTTATTATAGAATCCTAGGTCAACTTTTATTTTCTCTGTGTGTTTTGAAGATATTCCTCTGTCATCTGTTCTGTTGTTGCTGTTGAGAAGTTTGCTATTAACCCAATTGTCTATGTTGGTGATTTTCACTTCTCTCTGATTGCTTTCAAGATCTTGCCTTTGATTTTGGTGTCCTGCAGTTTCACAATGATGTGTATGTGTGTGTGCATGCTCATACACACACACACACACACACACACACACACGTGTGTGTGTGTGTTTCCAGAATCTGAGAATTCATGTTTTTCATTAAATCTGGAACTTTCTCTCATGTTCCTGTTTGCTGATACATCCTTTTACTTTCAGTCCACTTGCTTTTTGATCCAGTCTGACAACCTCTGCCTTTTGAATGAGCGTTTTGTCTATTCACGTTTAATGTGATCATTGATTTGGTTGGATTATCTCATGTCATTTTTGTTCCTCTCTTCTTCCTTTATGCCTTCTTTTGCATTAAATATCTTGTGTATTGTTTTATTTATTTTTGTTAATTCCTTTTACTACATTATTTAGTGCATCAGTCATTGCACTAAGAATTACATGTGTAACTTATTGAAACCTAGTTTATTCTAGTAAAATATAGAAGCATTGCTCTAATATATTTCCTTTTCCTCTCCCTTCTTTGTGCTATTATTGTCATGTATATTTCCTATATATATGTTATAAGCCTAAAACTTATTATAAACTGATAATAGTAATGGAATAATTACCTTGCACAATCTTATGTCTTTTTTAACCTTTTAAAAATCTTATGTCTTTTAAAGAATTTGAGGAAAAAAGTGTGAAACATATTTATATTTGCTCACATGTTTACCGTTTCTGTGCTCGTCATTTCTTCCTGTGGATTTGAGTTACCATTGGGTGTCACTTCCTTTTAACCTGAAGAACGTCCATTAGTATTTCTTATAAGATTTGTCTGCTGGCAATACTTGCTTCAGTCTGTATTTATTTGGAAACGTCCTTATTTTTCCTTCATTTTTTGAAGGATAGTTTTGCTGAATATAGAATTCCTGGTTGATAGTTTTTTCTTTTAGCACTTTGACTATACACTGAGTGCTATACACTTTGGACACAACTGATTTTGGTGTTCATGGTTTCTGATGAAAAGTCAATTAATAATTTTTGGGGGGTATGCAGTGAATTGTTTTTCTCTTGTTGTTATTAAGATTTTCTTAAAAATATGTTCTCTTTATCTTTAGAAAGTTGATTGTAATCTGTCTGAGTATGGATTGCTTTGTATTTAGCCTACTTTGGATTCACTGAGTTTCTTTGACCTGTGGATTAATGGTTTTTGGCAAATTTGGGAAGTTTGGGGCCATTATTTCTTCAGATATGTTTTATTCCTCTCTGTTATCTTTTTTCTGGGACTCCCATTACATGCATAGTGGTATACTTGATGTTGTCCATAGGTCTCTGAGACACTGCTCATTTCTATTCAATCTCTCACCCCGCTGTATTCTTTATATTGGATAATCTATTCTGATTATATTAAGTTTTACTGATCACTTTTTATGCTGAGCCTTTCCAGCCAATTTTAACTTTCAGTTATTGTACTTTTCAGGTCTAGACTTTCCATTTGATTCTTTTCTTCTTTTAAAAAAATCTTCTCTTTACTGTGATTTTCTATTAATGCCATCACTAATGTCACGCTGTTGCTGCTGCTAAGTCGCTTCAGTCGTGTCCGACTCTGTGCGACCCCTTAAACGTTAGCGCACCAGGCTCCGCCGTCTCTGGGATTCTCCAGGCAAGAATACTGGAGTGGGCTGCCATTTGCTTCTCCAATGCATGAAAGTGAAAAGTGAAAGTGAAGTCGCTCAGTTGTGTCCGACTCTTAGCGACCCCATGGACTGCAGCCTACCAGGCTCCTCCGTCCATGGGATTTTCCAGGCAAGAGCACTGGAGTGGGGTGCCATTGCCTTCTCCTCACTATTGTCAT